CCACTACAGTCCTCACATTGCCATCAGGGCTAGAGGAAAATTAAGGAGAACACGTGTTCCCCGACTCTTTGAGGACTGAACTCCACCTCCGTTTGCTCCTCCTCGGTCAATGACATCTGTTGACCTCTCAGGAGCTTCCTCACTCACTGAGGACCTTGGAGTTTGCTGTCAATGCCTCGACCCCAGTGTAAGGTGCTCACCATAACTCAAGAAGTATTTACCCCCTAACTGACAGAGGGGACAGGGAGGGCACTGGGAGAAGTCCAAAGCACCAGTCTCCCCTCATACACCAAGTGTGTCAAGACCACCCCTCAAAACACCTCCTCTGACCTGCTCTTCTGGAGACGTCACTGAAGCCAAATGGGCCCCCTGGGATTTGCAGAACTCCTCAGCCTCATGCCAAGATTTCTTGTCGTCAGAGAAGTAGTACAAATTCCTCCCATAGGCCTTCCAGCCTTGTACGAGCAACTGAAGAAGTTCGTCTGGAACAGAGGTGGGGGAGGAGAGGACATCAGGCTAGGAGTGGACATCTGAAGTTCACAATCCTGTGTGATCCTTGATGTCCGGTTCTCCAGGGACCAGGTCTACACAGGCCACACGCCCAAGCCATGCTCCAACACTCCAGGAAGCAGCACCTCAAGCCAAGGCAAGACATGGGTTCAGTCACCTCTAGGACGTTCAGTTAGCACTGGAACTCCGACAGCACTCTGCTTCAAGACGAGCTTTCCAGCCATGCACGCCACCCTCTTTTCCAGCTCTCCACTGTTGTTACCTTATGGTCCTGTCCACCCCAACTCCTGACATCTTCCTGGGAGACTTTACGCCCATCCTGTAGACTTCCATGTTTCCTTGACCTGTCTCCATCTTCTTCAGCTGCCCACAACCGATCTCCACCTCAGCAGCACCTCGTCAGCCTGAGCTTACAACTGTCCAGCTCTAGTCACTCATCTGTGAACACAGGCCCTCGTTCTGGGACCCTGTCACCTCTCTACATCATCCTGTTCTTTAATGTCGTCTGGACTACACCTGTTTGACATGAGGTCACAGCTAACTCATTCATTCCTCCATTTGTTCAACATTCAGCATTCATTAACTTGTAGGGACTAGGTGGTTGTTGCTGTGTGCCATCGAGTCAGAACAGACTCATGAACAACCTTCCAGCGAGTTTTCAGAGGCAGTAAATTGCACGGGAGTTGACTGCCCCTCTTTCTCCTGCGGAGCAGCTGGTGGATTCAAACTTCTTACGGTTAAATTGGAGGGACAATTCCTTCCTTCTCAGCCACTAGACTAAATAATGTTCTGGAAAGATCAGTAAGACATGATCCATATCCTCAAGGAACGTGGACTCTAGTAAAAAAGAAGTCAACTAGGAATTGACAGAGAAATAAAGTCCGTGACACAAACTAATATATGCTCAATAAACTTATGTTTACTTCGGTATTCCCTTACGTTGGCAAACAGTTGTAAATAACCCATGACCTTCAAGAGATCAAAGGCCACATTCACACAGTGAAGTATCACACATCACACAAACTCAAAAAATCAAGAATTTGTGAAATACGGTGCAACCTGGATGAATCTGAATAAATTATACTGAGTGACATAAATCAGTCACAGGAAGACAATTATGATTTGTTGTTGTTGTTGTTGTTGTTGTTGTTGGGTACTTTGGAGTTGGAACCAACCATTGCTGACCCTCTCCCACAAGTGGGTTTCCAGAGGCAATTAATCACACAGGAGGAGATTATCCATCCTTCTCCCATGGAGCAGCTGGTGGCCTTGAACTGCATGCCTTCTGTATTGCAACACAGCTTCTTTTCACTAAGACACCAGATATAAGACTAGTACAATAACAACGACAATATAGAGAGAGCTACGTCGGCCTAGTGGACAGGAAGTTATGCTACCAAGCCCAAGGTGAGTGATTTTAATCTGTGGCATTGAGGCCTAGTTTAAATTGTTTTTGTCAAACATTCTTATTAGTGGTATACCACTGGACTGTGCATTGCTGTACAGAGGTAACTCGTGGTTGCTGTGATGCTGAACACTGTGACATGAGGTGTCAAATGTGATAATGGTTACTTGTGATGAACAGTGTTTGGTGGAGCTCCCCGATTAAAACAAGCTTGAAAGCAAGAGTGGCATCCACTTCCGAAATGGCTTGCCTCCTGATAGTCTATGAACAGTGCTCAGGTCTTTCGTTCATAGGGTTGCTATGAGTCGTCTACGACTTGACGGCACTTAACAACAACTATACACTCCTAAGGAAATGTACGCAGTTCGAATCCACCAGCTGCTACTGCGCGAGATCATCTTTTCCCTTGTGATTTAGCCCATCTGAAAATCCCATGGCGGGGTCAGCAGTAGGTCAGTTCTGTTCTGACTCCAGGGTACACAACAACAACAACAACAAGGAAATATTTACACACAGTATCAATCTTAGAGCTTTAACAGGAAGGAGAAGGGATGGAGGAGTGGACGTTAATAAATAGGTACTAGAAGGTTGGGAGGAGGGAGAGGCAAATCATAATAAGGAGCTGATTAGACATAGTCATTCATTAATTACTCAATGGAAATTCATTTTAGAACACGAAACAGCCATGAGTTAGTATATGAAAAATGTAAACCTTCAATCAAATAAAAAATATATGTTGAAGACACAGATGTTGAAAAGCATGTGTTGTGGTTGTGGTTTGGTACATGCTATCGAGTTGGAACTGACTCTTCGCTGACCCTTTGCGGGTTCTCAGAGGCTGTAAGGACCTGGGAGGAGACTGCCTATCCTTCCATCACAGAACCACTGGTGGAATCCAACCACCTGCCTTTGGGTTGGCAGTGAGTGCAGCCCCTGCAGGCCACCACAGCAGCATGTGAACAAGACATAGTTCATCTGAGCTGAAGATAGTACACAGAAAGAACATTCTAGATGAGATATTAGTGAGCTGAGTCTTAAAAACTGAGGACGTTTTCCGGGCAGTCAGTCCTAAAAAGAGACCTGTGAGCAGGGGAAACAGAGGCACAAAATCATGAGGACATATAAGAGAGCTTCAACATTTCCAGGACTAGGGTACAACCAGTTCATAAGCAACAGGAGATGAACATGGAACAATCAGGCCACAGCTGTATAACATGCAGCCCAGGACATGACCTTGGCATCACACCCACTTTACCACGAGAAACGGGACACCCAGGAGAGTCTTAAGAAGGACAACGACATGCTCAGATTTACTCTGCAAACATTTCAACTAGGTGGCAGTGTGAGGGTTAAAAAGGAAGAAGGTATTGCTAATGAATCCAAAACACCAGTAAAAACACAATTTCCAGAAGCTACACGAAGAAAGGTTCAAATCAAGGACAGAGATATAAATCAAAACCACAATGAGATACCTTCTCACACCAGCAACAGTGATAAAGTTTAACTAACAGGAAACCATAAATGTTGGAGAGGATGTGAAAAGATTGGAACTCTCATACACTGTTGGTGGGATTGTAAAAAGGTGCAACCACTCTGGAAAGCAGATTTTAACACTCTCTGGGGAATACGTATATCGTTGGGGCATCCTTCTTCATAGAATCCTGAATCATTTGCTTAGTATTCAGATGGACTAGGTATGGAGAGAGGATACAACCCTGACACAACACTCTCCTAATCTTAAACCATGTAGCAGTCTCTTGTTCTGTTTTCACAGTGCCCCTTAATCTAGGTATAGGTTTCGCACAAGCACAATTCAGTGTTCTTGGATTCCCATTCTTCTCAAGTTAGCCATAACGTGCTGTGATCCACACAGTCAAATGCCTTCACATTGTCAACAAAGCACAAATAGACATTCTTCTGGTAGGCTTTGCTTTCAGCCAGGGTCCATGTGACATCAGTATTGATATCCCTGGTGCCATTCAATGGGACATCGCTCAACAGGACAATACTCGTGACAATAAGAAACCAAGAACAGGCTATCCATCGCCATGACCTATGTCGCCACCAGTGAAGTCTGGCTCTACTAGCCAACATTGCCCTTAATGTGTATCTGCATCACACAGATTTTTATCTCCCAAAATAAAAAAAGAAATTCTGGAGAGATGATCAGCACATCGAGAGCACTTCCTAGCTACATCGCAGCCTGTCTAAATGGCTTGGGCCTCCGACTCTCACACTCCTTTCCTGAGGACCCACGTGCTGAAATACGTGAAGATGTGGGGTCAGGAGAGCCCCCACGGAGGAGTCCAGCCCCCGGCCCATCACTTACTTGTCTTCTTTTGCAGAAGCATCTGTGAGGCAAGGGTCTGATTGAGCGTGCTGAGGCGGTTCTGTTCCTCCCGGACCTTGACCATGAACGCTTTGGTGTTCTCTAAGTCATCTTTTAGTGAGTGGATCACAGCGTTGGCCCCTTGCAAACTGCTGTTCAAAGCCTGGCTCTGGGTCTTCAAAAGGCTAATGCTGTCCAGGCTCTCCCGCAAAAAGAGGATCTGAGTGTTAGCGATCTCTAAACTCCGGTTTGCCAACTGGGCCTGGGCACTGGCCCTTGCCAAATCCACCCTTAACGTCTGAATGTTAGCGCTGGCCTCTTGTAGCTCCCTCGATAGTGCGGAGAGTGAATGGTTGGTGTTTTCTGAGGTGGTTCTTAGGAAACTCTGGGTCTGAGCATGCAGATCATTTGCTGTTTTCAGACCGTCCTTGAGCCTCTGGATCTCGGCGCTGGACCCCTCCAAGGAGCTCCTCAGCGTCTGGGTCTGGACACTCCAGGTCTTGGCGTTCCTCAGCTCCCCTTTCACCTCCTGGAGGTCGGCGCTGGCACCTTGCAGGTGGATGTTGAGCATCTGGATCTGGGAACTGACGTTTTGCACGCTACTGTTCAACATCTGGATCTCCTCAGGCCAGAAGCCGGAGCTTTCCACGTGGCCTTTCAACACATGGAAAGACTCTTGGATCTCAGTCTCTCTATCAGAATGGTTGGGACCTGGAGGTGAGGAAGTAGACCAGTCCATCAGAGAGGCTTATAGGCAAGTGTTCCACCTGCCAATCAGCGTGGTCTCAAAATTTGTAGTTTTACTGCTAATTCTGCAAACATGTCTATAGGTATGTTTTAAATTCTTTTCAAACCAAATTCAACACAGCAAAACCTAGGGAAAGGGTGAAAATACATATAAGCACATGGGGCTTAAGGTACATCAACTGATTTTATTCGCTTTCATGCCTGTATAAAATGATTACTTTCCAGAAACCCTGACAACCTCCATAATTATGATAAAAGTATTAGGGGTAACACCAAAAGTAGACACCAGTGAGTAACTGACAAAAGGTTTCTGAAAAGTAAACATTCATATTAAATCTAATGTTTTTGTGGAATCAGGGCTGTTAGGTTTTATAGTTTGGCCAATCACTCTAGGTGATCATTTCTAGATGAACACTCCTGAATTGGACCAATATTATCTTTTATATGGACTCCCTTTATTAATTTGATATTTATCTGAATTTTAAAACAAAAACATCTTTATGAGAAAATAATCCTTTTGGTGTACAAGGAGACTATTTAAGATACAAATACTCGGATCATAGAATAGAATTTCATGCACTGGTTGTTAACAGGTACTTTCATCAAGGCTTTGTCTCTTGATTAAAGATATTGGGGGAAGCATACTTAATACAAATTAATGGAATAATAAATAAGACCCAAGAGTTGGCCTTTGATTTTAAATATTTAATTTGTTCTTGTAAACCTTGACAAAATAAATGATGTTCTGATTAAAAAAAAAAAAGAAGTCCCAGGGGAGAGGAGCTATCTACACCGCAGTCCTGAGTGCTCTGGTCAGTGCATCTCTGCAGCCTCCCAGGCCCTGGGCATGGACCACCTGAGAATGTGGGCCTCCAAAAAGAAAGACTAAATTAGAAATAACACATCGCCTTAAGGTGAAAGCATTACCCAGTAAACGAGCCAACCACTGAGAATCCTGCTGGTAAAACTTGAAGTATTTTTCATTATACTTATATCTTTCAATAGAATTATATTTTCATTTTGACAAGTGTCAAACATTTAAGTAAGACCATGCCTACTTTAATTGTTGTGTAATTTAGAGTTGTTTATTTGTATGATAGAATTGATATAGAGTTTTTGAGATTGAATTCCACTGAAATCTCATCATTAAGTCTTTATAAGAAAGAAAAATCATGCTTGCATGTCAGGCATGGACCTCTTGATGCATTTTTATTACTTTCTTTTTTAAAAAAACAAGACAAAACAAAACACCCCAAACATGTTTTCTGAAAATCTTAAAGACTTTCAGATCATAAATTACACTTAAAAAACAAAACAAAACCCAAACACCAAAAAAATTAAAATGAAATAGAATGGGTGCCCCTGGCAAAAGCCCCCACTTCAAGTCCAAGGCTAGGTGGACACACATCACGCTCTGAGAAGACACTGGCCTGCTGCACTACAATAGCTTTTTACACGGCTACCCTCAACATGTTATAGACGGCAACGGTTTGCGGATGTGGGTGCTCTGGGTGAAAGCTGTCAGGGTCACTCAAATTACTAGGGGTTGTGTCCACTAACCCCATCAGCATCCCTGACCCTGCTACCACCCTTCGTTCACCTCATGCCGTTACCTGTCCTGCAGCTCCTGATTCCAGCTTTCCCCCAAGAACAATATGCAATTGGACAGTGACCCTTAGCGGAGGCCCCGTGCCCTACGCCTTAAGCCTTGGCAAGGCTGGTCTGTGAGGGCCCAGTCACTGTGCCCGGGTCAGTGCAGGGAAGGCCAGGTGGCCTTCAAAGATGTGAAAGGTCTGTCAAAGATTTTGCATTGTAAAGACAGACAAGTAGATCAATGGGACAGAACGGGAAGTCCAGGAATATACCTACACAGATGTGAACATATGTGATTTAAACAAAAGTGCAAAGGTGATTCAATGACAGAAGAATGAGCTTTCAAGCAATTCCACTACTGGGAATATACCCTGAAGAGACCATAGCTGACATCCAAGCAGATATATGCACACCCATGTTTATTGCAGCTTTGTTCACAATAGCAAGGAGTTGGAAACAACCTAAGTGCCCATCAACAAACGAATTGCTAGAGAAGCTGTGGTATATTCGCACAATGGAATACTATGCTGCATTAAAAAACAAGGAACTCATGCAATATTATTCAAAATGGTTGACTCTGGAGAACATCATGCTGAGTGAAATATCCCAGTCACAAAAGGACAAATATTACATGATGCCACTGTTGTAGAATGGGACTGTCCTTGGGGTTGGGGAGAGACTGAGTAAGATGGGTTCAATAATGTATACTGCACTGAAACAGAGGGGGGAGAGAACTGTTTAAAAGAGAGATATAACTGGGTATTTCTGTCATCACAGGAGACTAAAGCGAGGGCTACATGGTGGAGGGGACCTGGGGGAGGGTTTGTAAAACAATGAAAGAATCTTTTCTTTTACTTTTCCATAATTTTTGGACTCATGTACTTATAACTTGTTAGTCAAATTTGTGTCTTCTAGGTTGCAACACCCCCATGATACATCTTCAAGGATATGAACATGTACGGCCAAGCACAATCAATAAGAGTGCATCTAAATTCCAAAATCAATCTCCATAATAGTCTATGTGTTTCCTACTGCCAAAGGGGCCCTTTAGAGTAGTGAGAGAAGATCTTCACCCTGAAACCCACAGCGTCCCTTTTCAGCAGGAAGTAGCTAAGAGAATACGCCATTCCCTTTTCCTTATGACTCAGGGTGAAGTCTCTCTCAGGGAGGAGTGATAGGGAATGGCAAAGGACACACTGACAAAGAAGATTAATCAGAACTGGCTTTGACAAGCACTGTGGCATTTGGACAAGATCAAACTGGGAGGAGGGTAGAGAGAATAGTGCAACAATGAATGAGTGGAAGCCCAAAATCTCTGTAAATGTTTATGAAAATTAATAAAATATAATTATAGAAAAAAAAGAAAAAAAAAGAATGAGCTTTCAAAAAATAATGCCAGAACAACACGGGGGGAAATTAAATGCTCAAGACAGACATCTTACCGTTCTACAACTCTCACACCACAGTTTAAAGTCTTGAGTCCTTCAATGATAAGTGGAATACTATGCAGCAATAAAAAGGAAGGACCTAAGCAATGCGGAGAAACTTTAAAATGATTCCGCTGAACGAAAGGAGCCAGACAACAACCACCACATTCTCGCTGTTACATGCTTCTACATAAAACTCTGCAAAGTACAGGCTGATCTGCAGTGACAGAAGCCCATCAGCGATTGCTTCAAATGAAGTGGGAAGGGTGATTACAAGTGGCCACAGTAACTGTGTAGGGAGAATGATGAGTGTATCCATTACCTTGACTGTGGTGGTCATTTTACAGGGTATATATACATCAAAACTAATCAAATTGTACCCTTTAAGGATGTGTACTTGATCATGTGGCAATCCTATCTCCACAGAGCTGTTTCTAAAAATAATAAAAATCTGCGTGAGGAGACTAGAACCTATTCAGGCGCTAAGAATGGTGGTAAAGTGTCTCCTTCTGGGGTCCAAGCACCTCAGTGCTCCAGGTCCCCCCCCAGCCCCACAGTGACTACTCACCATCAGGGGCCTCAGACAGCAGCCTCGTGGTGTTGTATTTCAGAATCATGGCTTGAAACTCTTCTGTGCTTGGCATCGGCCTTGGGTTCCGCAGAGCTAAAACATTCATTCTCGGTCAATATATTCAGTCCTGGGCACCAGGCTGCACCATGCCCCGTCAGAGCTCCAGAAAGAGGGCGTTGGCACTAACAGGTTTTTCTGATCTTCTCTCCTAGGGCCTCTGTTCTGGAAAGATCCCCCTTGGACAGTGAACTCTGTTCTGTCCCAGGAAATGACTGCCCTAGGCTCAGGGCTAGAAGTGGAGTGACCTGGCATTTGTGTAGAAGGAAGGAGGGACGTTGAGTGGGGCTTAGGTCCCCTAGGAGCTTACCCACAAAGAGAGCCACAAAGGAAGAGGCCAAGGTCATAGTCAACAATACCAGGACGACCAGAGTAAGTCTTGACGTCTTGAAGGCTCCAAAAGTCAGTGCCCTGGAGTTCATGCCTGCAGGTGACAAGATGCCCTGACATGTCCCTTGACTTATTACACAGGTTGTTTAGGGGAAAGGATCAGAGTTACCTGGAAGCGCTCATGAACTAACTTGGGGGGAGGGGAGAACTGTCGCTACAGGAAGCCAAGTGGCACAGCCCAGGCAAGCTCTCAGGGATCAGAGGATGGTTTGGTGGTGTGGAAAGGGCAGAACCTGGCCCAGGAAGGAGCACAAGGTGAGTGTAAAATGAGGGAGGGGGAACGAGGGAGGGAGAGCAGAAACCTTGACTCTGGTCCTGCCCAGAGCTAGGGGCACAGTCTTCTGAGGCTGCTGTTTCCCCGCCCACTGACCTGGGATCCCTGGAATGGGAGGTGGGAGTGCTTTTCTCTCAAAAGGTCAGTCTTGGGACTTCCCTCTGTCCAGGCAGGGTGTCCACTGTGGGTTTTGCCTGAGATTTTGGAAATGTATTCAGAGACATCTCATCAGGAGAGATTTTTCAGCCTGGTTGCCAAACTCAGGTTGTTGCGTACCATTGGGTGGGAACCATCCCATAGCGGACCCTCCAGAGGGTTTGCAGAGACAGTGTATCACGTGGGAGGAGAGTGCTCATCTTTGGACCGAGGAGCAGCTGGTGGATTCGAACCGTGAGCCCACAGGTTGACAGCACAGCTCCTAACCACTAGGGCCCCACAGCTTCCTTCCTGCCAAGTTCATGGACAGTGCTAGAATTCAACAGCAGCTCCATCGGAACTCAAAGATCATACCTTTCTCTTGCCAGACCGCCATCCCCAAAGTAAAAAACAACAACCTCACTGTC